CTCTCCCGCTCCCCCCTCAAAAAAAACATTTTGCAAGGAAAAATTCATTCTGGCTCCTGCCTTGGCAGGGGGGTGGACTAGAAGACCTCCAAGTTCCCTTCCATCCCTAGGATTCCATGCCTGTTTCTATTTGAAGCAACCTTGCAAAAGATTTAATGAATGCAATTGATCAAACATTAATAACCATTTAATGAATAAATAAAAACCTGCAAAAAAGCCCCTGCTTAGACAGCATCGGCTGAATTTCTGCCTGCCATGCAGCTCCAAGGGGCCTTTAAAAGGGGGGTTAGGGTTAGATTTGCAGGCAGAAGGAGGGGCTTCAGGAGACCCCCGCCCCCCTTCCTCCCCCCCGGAGGCTGAGCCCCTCTCCGTCCCCGGAGTCACTTACATGCTGATTCCCACCGGCTCCCTTCCGGGTAGCTCACGGAGCGGCAGCCACCTCGCCCAATCAAAACCGAGCTCTCCTGAGCCCGCCTTTCTACGGTGGAAAGAACCAATCCGTATTCAGAATGAAAAAAAGCCCGGCTCTCTCAGCATTCTGGGAGTTGAAGTCTGAAGTGGGAGGAAGCGTTTATAGGCCATTTTGACTCTTTCTTTTAACTTTTAATGCTTACCCAGCAGAGTTTTTGATCTGCTCTTCAGTTAACCTCTCTGGAACCTGTTGATATGCAGACTTCAACAACTCCCAGAATTCTTAGCAAGTTCCCCCCCCCCCCTCTTGGCTGGGGATTTCTCAGAGCTGAACTCCACAATACAGAGTTGGAAGGGACCTTGCAGGTCATCTAGTCCAACCCCCCGGCCCAAGCGGGAGACCCTACACCATTTTAGACAAAGGGCTGTCCAATCTCCTCTTGAAAACCTCCAGTGATGAAGCTCCCACAACTTCTGGAGCCAAGTTGTTCCACTAATTTAACACACACCCCGACATTGGATATCTGAAGATACTGGAAGACTGCCATCACGTCACCCCTAGTCCTTTTCATTACGCCAGACATATCCAACATCTTACAGAGTTTCTTTATACACTTATGTGGTTGTTCCAAGCTGGGCATTTTTACCTGCAAAATTCCTGAACCGGTTTTTATGACCTAACCTTGGCAACTTTAAACCTAACGAACTTCAACACCCAGAATTCAACTTTAAGACTTGTGGACTTCAACCCCCACCAAACTGGCTGGGGAATTCTGGGAGTTGAAGTCCTCCATGCTTAAAGTTTCCAAGGCTGGAGACCCCTGTCCTAAGCCACTCTTGAGAACGGAAAGGAAGAATCCCGGACACAGTGCACATAGAAACACCTTTTATTAATTTGTTAATAACAGATAAGCAATAAGATATATATATATATTTTGTCATGCTCATTTTTATTTTCTTTCCTTCCAGAGAACCTGGATGAGCAAGGAGGGTCAGGGAAGACAGAAACCATGCAAGATTCCACGGGGAGCTTAGCACAGGGCACGGCGGGCTGTCTCACGTGACGGTTTACAAAGTTATTTCTCTTTGAAAAATTGCAAAAAAAGAGAGCAAAAATTACATCTAGGCAGGAAGAACACCATCCTGCGGGTGATCTCTACGGAAAGAAAAGTGGTGGAAAGCCACCGGAAGGTGTTGCTCTCAGGGCTGGTCTGGGCCTTCTGAGGATTAAGCCAGCCCTGGTGGATAATTCAAGGGCGGGGGGGGGGGGGGGACAAACCAAGATTGTGCCCGATGTCAAACTGAAGTCAACCAAAGGTTTGATTTATTGCTAGTCAGTGTCAAGAGGGGGAAGAAGTGAATTGAAATGTTCCCGGCGGTTTTTTCTATAATCTGGCATCATCCAGGATGGGTCTGGTAATTTTAATTTAATTTTTTTTTTTTAATTTCCAGCAATGTTGGGAAGTGTGATCCCAATTCATTTGCCCAGGGGGGGGGGGCGGGGGGGGGGGGAGCCAGTTTATGGAAGGCTGGTTTGGATTTTGATGAGAATGAAACGTGGGTCTAAACTGGGGGCACAAAAGGATCAGATTCCCCACAACGCAACAATGACCATGGGAAGGATGTGGGATGAAATGGATTGGAAGATTCGATGTAGCCGTTTGTGGGCTTTTTTTAAAAAATATTGTGTTATATATCTGTACATAAAGGTCCCAACATTTCACCAAGCTTGGGGTTCCTTCTTATGGCCTGAATGCCTTTTTTTTTTCCTTTTTAAAATCAGTCCAAAAATAGAGGCCCATCTCCCCTTCTGATGTTCACCCCATTTTTCCAAATGGAATGTTGTGGTCTTTTAACAGCTATACCACAAGGGACCTTGGAGATCATCTAGTCCAACCTCCTGCTCAGGCAGGAGACTCTATACGCTTCCAGACAAGGGGCTATCCAATCTCTTCTTAAAAGCCTCCAGTGATGAAGCACCTACAACTTCTGGTGGCAAGCAGTTCCACTGGTTAATTGTTCTGTCAGGAAATTCCTCCTTAGTTCTAGGTTGGGTCTCTTCTTGATGAGTTTCCATCCGTTGCTTCTTCTCCTGCCTTCAGGGGCTTTGGAGAATAGGTTTGACCCCCTCTTCTCTGGGGCCACCCCTCAAATACTGGAAGACTGCTACCATGTCACCCTCTCTTTCTTGGGCTAGACATACCCGGTTCCTGCAACCATGCGTTTAGTGCCCTGCCCACGAAAGGGGCACTCGTAGAGCATAGAGCAGAAAACAGAATTGTAGGACCAGAAAGGACCTCAGAGGTCCTGTAGTCTAACCTGCTCAGAGACCCTGTTCCAGGGTGTCCAACCTTGGTAACTTTAAGACCTGTGGACTTCAACTCCCAGAATTTCCCAGCTAGCCATAAGTCCACAAACTTGCCAAGGTTGGACACCCCTATCCTATGCCATTCCAGACTGTCCAGTCTCCTCGTAAAAGGCTCCAGTGATGGAGCCTCCACAACTTCTGGAAGGAAGCTGTTCCACCGATTAATTGTGGGAATTGTCAGGAAATTCCTCCTTGGTTCTAGGTTGCTTCTCTCCTTGATTTGTTTCCATCCATTGTTTCTTGTCCTACCCTCAGATGCTTTGGAGAATCGGTTGTCCAGTGTCCTTGTCTCTGGATACCTGTCCTTACAAAGCCCAAACCTTAATGGATTTCTGCACAACAGCAGAAAGGTTGAAGGTTTAGAGGGTCAACCTTGTCCTCCATCCCTAGTCAATGAGTGGATGCTTCTTTCCATTTCTCTCTCTCTTATGGGTTGACCAAGTTGATAAAGAAAAGAAATTTGGAAGAGGGGCGGCCAGGTGAGCAATTTGCTCAAGGCCAGAGAGGGAAGGGAGGGACCTGCCTCCCAAGCCAGGAGATAATTTTAGACTTCAGGGTCAGCTTCGAAGCAGAGGATGCAAGAACCTCAACGCAAGGACGAATGGAGAATCGTCAAGGTTACTCCCTAGAGCAGAGGCCCTCAAACTTGGCAACTTTAAGACGTGGGGACTTTAACTCCCAGAATTCTCTGGGCTAGAGAATTCTGGGAGTTGAAGTCCACAAGTCTTAAAAGTTGCCCATTTGGGGCACCCCTGTCCTAGAGAATCATTCCGCTATCAGCACCTCATTCCTGCTTTCTGAGTTTGCACCTCCACACCCGCAAGCCAGGCGTAGCCCTCGGGACCCCCTGAGTCGCACCATTCCCCACTTTTGCCCTCTCCCAAAGTCCGTGGAAGCTACATTCAGTTCAACTAAGAGAGGAAGCTATAAGTAAAAGGCTGACGTGTTACTAAAATGGATTAAGACGAGTGGTTTTTTTGGGGGGTGGGATTCAACTCCCAGAATTCCCCAGCCTGGGGGAGAAAAAACAACAACTCTGGATTAAAATCTAATGCTCTGTAGCTGATAAATGCAAAGGTTAAGATCAGATTCAGTTATATAATATCTTCCCCTGCCTTTTGCTTTAAAAAACAAAACAAAACAGAGAACAGACTTCTGGTACTGTACTTACACACAGAGAGACACGCAAACACTTACACACCCCTCCCTGTATGTTCATTTGCACAGACGTAAGCTAAGCAGGGCTGCTAACACACACTAGGTTTCCTTCAACGGTGTTTTGTCGCATCGGTAATCCAAAGACGGAGGTTTTCGGTTAGAAAGGAAGATGGCTAACAAGAGAGGCTACTTACGGCATCGGTGGGCAAAAAAGGCATTGGCACTCTGGACCTATCCTGCTCGCGCCTTAGTCGCAAAATGGGGAGGAGGTGTTTAAATCCCCCTTTCATGGGCACACTTCATGAAGAAGAATTAAGTCACCAAAGTCAGCAGAGGTGTGCTACTTGGTGGACGGGAAGTGACCGGCTCCTGAAATGGTTTGGTTTGGCGATGGGCGAGATCAGCAAAGCTTTTAGGGGGAAGATAGAAGGGAGACGCCGAGGATTTTTAGGGAGGCATGGAAGAACAAGCCGCGATTCCGGAGAGAACCTTAGCTTGGCATTCAAACAAGCTGCCTCCAAGGGACTAGGATCCTAACGGGGCGACCAAATGGAGGGAATCCTTGATCACAGCCCTACTCAACTTGTGGTCCCCGTTGGACCAAGGCAGTGTTTTTCAAACTCGGCAACGTGAAAAATGCGCGCGGACTACAACTCCCAGAATCCCCCAGCCAGCAGGTTTAGAAACAAGAGGGACAGTTTCCTATGTCCGTCACTCAAAGGGCCAGGTGAGAGACCGTTGTCCCTCAGCCTGCGGACTCAGGATCGTAGAACCCTAAGTCTGGAAGGGACCTCAGAGGTCTTCTAGTCCAACCCCCTGCCCAAGCCAGGAGACCTTATTCCACCCCAGGCAAATGTTTGTCCGAGGAAGCCAAGTGGGTTTGCGATGTGCAGGTGGGGTTCTGCAGTGCAGATCTCAGAGCTGGACTATACATTCCCTGACTGTGGGAAAGCTCAGAGGCGGGACTCCCAAGTATAACTGAAGGGATGTCCTCCCCCCCCCCCGTACCTCCCTCCTCCCTGGTAGAAAAACGACTCTTAACGACCGTTGCCAGATCCTCAAAAGAAGTGCTAGGAGAGACTGGTGGTGCCACAGCTCAGAAAGTGGGGAGGGGGGGGGCAACGGGAGGGGTTTTTAGCGTTTCTCACGATCTACTGGGGGTGGCCATGTGATCTAGCAAGGCACTGGGTTCACTAGGAAGGGTGATGGAGGCGGGGAGCAAGAGAGGTGAGCGACGGGTCCGAAGAGCAGTCCTTGATTACGTGGAGAGCGGAGGAAGAGCGGAGGAGGAGAAGGGCGCGGGGGTTGGGGGGGACACACTCTACGGCTGCATTTCCGCACGCAGCATCCACGGGAACCAGCAACAGAAGAGAATCCTGCGGGAGAGAAAAGGAAGTGCGTTTGGCCTCAAGGAAGGCGGGAAAGCAAGCGGGGGAGAGGTGGTTAAATTGGCGGTTTGCTGACAAAATTAACCCCCTGATTTTTCTTCTTCCAGGATGTGATTTTCTCCTGAGAGGGTGGGAAGCCTGTCAACCTTGGGAGCAGCAGTGGGATCCTATCTTTTCCACTACCAGTTCAGTGATCGTGCACGTGTATGCGTGCACCTAATGCGCACGCGCAGCTTTCCCCACACCAGCTGAGGCCCGCAGCGCCAACCAGCTGAGAGAATAAAGAAGAGAAGAGTGCGGGGGCAGGTGGCAGGGCTGTTCCTGCGCTTTCCTCTTCTTTCTCCTCTTCTCAGCTGATCGTCGGCCTTTTTTTTTTTTTTTTACTACCGGTTCAGCTGAACCGGCCCAAACCGGTATCATACCACCACTTCTTGGAAACCATTTTTACTTGGAAGCTTTGAGGCTGCCACGTTTAGTGCCTGGGAATTTGGCAGGGGGGATTTCATAGTGAGGTAGAAGATTAGACTCAACAAAACTCTTTCTCAGAGAGTCAAGGACAAGTTACCCTGCATCTGGAGAGGAGTGCCTGGAGGGATGTCTTCAGATGGGACGACGATTTGATTGGGCCATGTGATGGACTGGTGGGTGGATCTTTGATTTCTCTTTTGGGAAGGGAACACTCGGAACTCTCCAATTCGGGTTTTCCCAGATGTGCCAATATAACAACTCTAATAAAATGGAACTTTGAGGAAACGCTTGTCTCCGAGTTTATTGGTTTGGAGTTGGTTAGTTGGAACGCTGACAGCAAGCTGCAAAAGGCCATGGATCTTCTGAAGACCCTTCAGGAAGATCTACCTCATCAATGGAGGGGTGAAGAAATTCTTGGTAGCTTAGCGGAGGATTGAGGTCCACGGGAGCATCGCATGAGGAGACTCAACCAACTACTCCACATTAAGGACACCCAGTCACGGGGCAAGAGATACACGGGCACATTCGTGGAATGAAATTCAACCGCCAAGGAGCTAATCATCTGTGGAATAATCTAGAACAGGGGTCTCCAAACCTTGGCAACTTTAAGACTTGTGGACTTAAACTCCCAGAGTTCCTCAACCAGCTTTGCTGGGAATTGAAGTCCACTGTCAACTAAAAAGATACTCCTTTGGTCTTTTTAGTTGCCCGCAGAAAGGGAGTAGGAGAAAACAGTGCATTCCTTAAGTGCCTAGATAATCACCCTGGCAGCCCGAAGTTGTTGGAGTGCTGGAGAGCATGATTGATTATTCTTAGCTATGAACATGTCCCATTGGAGAATATACATCCAGGGGGTGGGGGGAAGACCAGGGTCAAAGGGGAAATGAATGATGTATTTTAGTATTGGCTGTATCCAGCTAACATCAATATGGCCACTCCTAATAAATCAATTTTATTTTCTCTGAGGTGCGGCTAGAGACTTTTGATTTGAGTGGGGGTGGATTGGTTGGAGTCGTGACATCCACAAGTCTTAAAGTGGTCAAGGTTGGAGACTCCTGATCTAGAAACTCAAGAGGGAAATGGCCTTCTTCTTTCGGGGACTCTGGAATCCTTTTTCCACCCTCCTCACGGCCTGTCGCAAGAGGCATGGATTTATAACCACGGTTCTCCACTTTGGGTACTTTAAGATGGGTGGACTTCAAACCCCAGAGTTCCCCAGCCCGCAGAGATGGCCAGATCCCAGTCGCTCTTACCTAGAGATGGAATTTTCTGACGTGATATCTTTCGGAGATCTGACTGTAGTAAAATTACGCTTTGGCTGTGAAACTACAAGAGAGGAGAAAATGTCATTATTGTTCTAAAATCAAGGAACGGACCAGTTGGATACCCCCTTGGCTCCTGGATCTTCGCTCCTGCAGAAGACATCAAAGACCACACCGTTTGGACTTTGCAATACTTGAAATGTGCTTTTTCTAGTACCATTGCCCTGGCTAACTAACATGGGTTGACTTGTCTTTGAAATGTTTAGATCCAATATATAGACTATTTTTCTACCAGTCCTGGTTACTAAAAGGAAGGTTTTTTCTTGAAGGTTAAAGCTTATGGCAAATTATTAGCAATAAATTTGAAAAAAGCAGATTTAGAGTACAAGGTGATTTAGAAAAAAAGCAGATTTAGAGTGCTACAGGACATATGTCTAGATAGTATGTTTGCCCATGTAGTATGGCTATATTATTTTTATCCTTCTCGTCTGCTCCACCACCTTCTCTTATTGATATCATTATGATTGTTACTTTGATATACGATTGTTATTACTTTGTTGTTTTGCAAGTACGCTGAGTGCTTCTGCACTAGAGACCCAATTCCTTGTGTGTCTAATCACACTTGGCCAAATAAAATATTCTATATCACAAGTACTACAAAGTCCATACCGTATGGCCTTTGTGTGGAATTCAGCAGGGGCCCATGGACGCATGCCGGAAACCCAGCCGTGTGGGTTCCCTGCCAACTCCCCCAATGTTGCTTTCCCACAACACTTCCGTTCCCCCCCAAAATAGTGTCAAGTGAAATCTGGGCTATACCTACTGGTAACTTGGTGCACCTTCTTTCCAGAAGTGCCATCTTGGGAGTCTCTGGGACCTCCGATTCTGCAAGAGACGGGATTGCAATTCATTTAGTTCGCTTAGTGACCATTTGAAGTTACAGTGACATTGGAGAAAAGGGGTCAATGGCCATTTTTCAACGCTTACGACAGTTGCACCGTCTCCACGGTCACGTGGCTGGCTGGGGAATTCTGGGAGTTGAAGTCTACAGGTCTTCAAGTGGCCAAGGTTGGACACCTCTGGCTTAGAGCAGGGGTTGGACTAGAAGACCTCCAAGGTCCCTTCCAGCCCTATCTAGGATTCTATGAGCTCCAAGTCTCGTTCCCAGCATCCAAACAGCCCACCTACCTCTGGACCCTGGACGGGGGGGCAAAAACGCCATGCTTAGGGGTGCAAGTGAAGTAGCGAACCCCGAAAACAGAGCCATCGTGTTTTCCCGTCGGTTTGTCCAGCTCAATTCCAAACCAATAGCCTATTAGAAGGAGACAGACGGACAATAGAGAGAAGTGTAAACGTTATCTCAATAGTGCACTGCTTGTGATTTATGTGTACCGTCCAATGGTGGGATTCAACATTTTTTTACCACCGGTTCTCTGGGCGTGGCTTTGTGGGCGTGCTTCGTGCGTGCACACACCAAATGCATGCTTTGTGCATGCGCAGAGGGTTTGATGTTGACCTTCTCCTGCAATCCTACACTCTCCTTGGGTGTTCAACGGCTGACGCGTGGCAATCCACCGTGCTGTGCTAAGCAGCTGAGCTTCAAAACCAGGAAATAAAGGTCAGAATAGAGCCAGGGTGGGCAGGTGGGCCCAGCAGCTCATCGTCGGAGCTACCGGTTTGGTCAAACCAGGCCGAACCGGTAGAATACCGCACCGACGAGGTTTTAATAAGGGTCAGAGAAACTTGAGGTCCCCTATCTCAGCCTCCCAGCCAGGCTCTTCCCATCCTACCCCACCGGCCTTACCTGGGGCAAAATCAGTCTTCCCGTAGAAGCGAATGACCCCTTGCTTCTGTCCGGCCACCAGCACCTGATCCCCGATGTCGATCTTCAATCCTTCGCGATCCAGGCTGCCGACGGATAAGGATTTCTTTCTGAGAGCTGAGAGGAGAAGAGAAAGGAATAAAGAAGGACAGGTTTTGGGGGGCCCTTGTGTAGGAGTCAGCCAGTATGGTCTCTGAGCTTGGAGGTTTGCTTGCAGACGTTTCATTGCCCAGCTAGGTAACATCATCATTGCTAGAAGGCGAAGGAGTTTGCAGAGTGGAAGAGAAGGAAAGAGGAGGAGGAGGAGGAGGAGGAGGAGGAGGAGGAGGAGGAGGAGGAGGAGGAGGAGGAGGGGAAGGAGGAGGAGGAGGACCATGGGGTCCTTAGTGCTCCTTGAAGTTGGTTGTTCCTTGCAGACATTTCATTGCCCAACCTGGTAACTTCATCAGAGTGAGGGAGGGTGGACTTTGCATGCTGAATTGCCTTCTTTGCCAGTGTTACTGGGTGTCGTTTTCTCCTTGGTAGTGCTTCAATTCGACTATTGTGTTTTTGCTTAATTGTTTGTCTGGTATTAATCCCTGCTTATCTCAAGTGCTGACTGCTGGGGAGGTTGTGGGTTCCCCCACATTCACCAGCATTGATGATGTTACCTAGTTGGGTCATGAAATGCCTGCAAGGAAACCACCGAGCTCAGAAATCCCCCAGGGCCCCACAGTTCAACCTGGATGTCCAGAGCTGATGCTTCCCCTCCCCTCCCCCTCTTCCAGTCTTCTTTCACAGCCCCTCCCCACCTGTTCACCTGTTTGCTCTCTTCGGTACCCCTTTGCTCTCCCTCAAAGAGAGAAGAAATGGCTCTTCCTAATCTTCTCCTCCTTCCACCCGCTAAGGGCTGCCCCCCCCCCCCCCAACACCTACCCTCCAAAACCTGAGCCCTTGAGTCAAAGCTGAGGGCAGAAGCCACTCTCTGGGGCCTGCCAGCTGCCCGGGACCCCTTCTGCAGCCCCCGCTCAAAAAAAAAAGAGCACCTTTCCGGTCCTTGTCCTTCTCCTTGCGCCCTTTGGCTGTCATGCGGGAAAAATCCATCCGGGGGGTCCGTGGCGTGGAGGTGACCGACGGTGTTTGGTCAGCAGCTTTGGAGATCTTGGACACTGAAGCAAACAGCCCTGGGAAGGCAAGAGAGAGAAGAAAATGACAGACCCGGATTAATAACACTGGCAGTAATTCCACCACGGACGAGTTTCTACTTCTCCGACATTTGACGGATCTGAATTTGACGGAGGGGGAATTCTTTATTGGTCGTGTGCCCAGCCCTGCTATAACTCACCATGCTTTGGTGGGCAAATGAAGTAGCGGATGCCACCCACGCTGCCATCGTTCTTGCCGTCGGGCTTGTCCAGTTCTACACCGACCCACTGGCCGCTGGCAAACTCGGTCGTGCCACAGAAACGCAAGGTGCCCACCTGTATGTAGCAGAACATGATGGGGTCAAATGGCGCTCAGAGAACAGAAAATTACCTGCACATTACCTGTCTGGATACAGCTGGGGATCTAATGGGACACTTTAGGATCTTTCCAAGACCTAACTCAACAATTAGGCAAACTTTGGCTACACACCTGTAGATTAACGCAGACCTAGCCTTGACAAAGGTAAACAGAAGCCACTAACATAAAATGTAATTCTGTCCCAGGACAGGGGGAAAAGGTGAGGAGGAAACTCAAGACAGTCCTGCCTTGATTCTCTTCGGTCTACGAGGGGATGGAGGGGAAACCTGGCCTGTTTTCAGGATTCTGTAATCATCCCCTATAACCGTGATGGCAAACCTATGGTATGCGTGCCAGAGGTGGCATGCAGAGCCCTCTCTGTGGGCACGTCCACTGTCGCCAGCTGCTCTTTTGGTTTCTGGTGTGCGCATGCGCACCGGCCAGCTGGTATTTGGTTTTTGGCACTCCGGTGCACGCACACACATGCGCGCATCCCCATTTGGGCACTTGGTGCCGAAAAGGTTTGCCATCACTGCTCTACAACTTCGAGAGAGCAATTCTGCAATTCTTGCACTATCACAGTGATGGCAAACCTTTTTGTTGTGGTGTGCGAAAAACGCACGCGTGCTGGCACCCGTAGTGGCGCACCGCCCCCCCCATGCATGCATGTGCAACACCCTACCCCCTTTCCTGCACTGCTCATGCGTGTGCCTCCAGCTGATTTTCAGCCCGTTTGAGGCTGTTTTTGCCATCCCGGAGCCTCGAGGGAAGCCTCTGCCGCTTCAGGAGGCCGAAAACACGGGCCTTCCGGGAATACTGGAAGTGCCTGTTTTCAGCCTTCAGGGGTCCTCTGGAGCCCGGGGGATGCCATTTTCACCCTCCCGGAGGCTCGAGGGAAGTCTCGGGATCCTGAAAACGGGCCCATTTCGTCACTTCCGGTATTTCCGGAAGGCCCGTTTTTCGGCCTCCCGAGGCTACAGAGGCTTCCCTCGAGGCTCCGGGAGGGCGAAAAAGGCCTCAAACGAGCTGAAAATCAGCTGGCAGGCATGCGCACATGCGCAGCGCAGGTCTGTTTGGCTGGGGCTTGCGTGCCCACACCAATGGCTCTGCGTGCCACCTGTGGCACCCATGTCACATGTTCGCCATCGTGGCACTATCGGATTCCCTCCAAGGGGCTGGCAACCTCCATGATGGGGTTCTGCATCCTTAGGCAGGAACAGATGAAAAAAAAAGCAGGCCGTCCGAATGAGCCTGAAGAAGACCTGGGGGCACCTGCGCCTTCCTTACCTTCTGCCCGTCCACCAAGACCCGGTCGCCCAGCTTCAGGCCGAGAGAGAGAAGCATGAGGTTCCCTGGAATGTTGTCGTAGTTGGGCAGGGTGACCTTGGGCAGGCTGCAACTCAAAGGCACGGCGTCCAGCAGCAACTGCTTCAGCTCCTTGGCGATCATGGCGGCCTCGGCCTTGTCCAGCGTCATGTCCATGGGGTCCGGCACGACGTCAGCCGGGACCTGCCCTTTGCTGTTCTGTTGAGAGAGAGAGCGGGGGGGGGGGGGCAATGCGGTTTGTCCCACCCAAGGATGACGCAGGGTCTTTCCACCAATTGCATCCGAGGTCCTCTTCATAAGGTCGAAGGGGGTCTGGAGAGACCCCCTTCTCAGTGCATGGGCCTTACTGAAACACCAAGGAAGGTTGGGTACTTCCTGTTAGGGATAACATTGTTTACCCTAACTGGTTTGGGTAAAAAATAATAAATAAGTTATCATGGTTTGTTGGTTAAAGTGTGTGTAACTTTAACTACAAGAATGTAATTAAGGGTGTGGTTGTAAAAGCACCATAAAAGAAGCAAGTCAATTGCAGCTCTCTCTCTCTCTGGCTTAATGATCCCTAATTACTGGATGGATTGATGACTGCGTTTTTCCTTACTGGAACGGAGGAGAGAAAGGAGTGTTGATTTCTCAACGGAGAGAAGAGATAATACGGACTGATTTATTGTAAGTGAACTGACATTGGCTATTCAACACGGACTTTGCAAATTGAGTATCCCCGACTGGACTGACTGAAATGATACATGACTAATGGACCGTTTATTTTGACTATGCTATAATTCCTAATGGAATAAACTATATTTTTGATAGCACAAGCGTATCTGTTTTTTTTACTGCGTGTTAACTAAAATACAAACTTATCTCACACATTTACCTGTCTGACTATCTGACTACGCTACACATTCTGTTTAGTTTGTTTTCCTTAACACTCGTTGGGGAATTCAGGCTTAACACTTCCAACCAAGAATAACAGAATAACAAACTCAGAAGACATCTTAGAGGTCATCTAGTCCAACCCTCTGCTCAACCAGGAGACCCTATACCAATTCAGACAAATGGCTGTCCAGTCTCTTCTTGAAAACCTCCAGTGATGGAGCACCCACAACTTCTAGAGGCAAGTTGTTCCACGGGTTAATTGTTCTCACTGTCGTCAGTTCCAGGTTGCTTCTCCCTCTGATGAGTTTCCATCCGTTGCTTCTTCTCCTGCCTTTCAGTCCTCTGGAGAATAGCTTGACCCCTTCCTCTCCTTTGAGGAAGCCCCTCAGATACTGGAACACTGCTATCATGTCAACCCTGGCGCTTCTCTTCACTAGACTAGCCAGACTACCCAATTCCTGCAAATGTCCCTCATACGTTTTAGCCTCCAGCCCCCTGATCGTCTCTGTTGTTCTTCTCCGCACTCGTTCTAGAGCCTCAACATTTTTTCGGTCTCCTGGTGACAGCCATTTTCTTTCTGCTAATGTCACCCACAGCAGCGTCGCTGGAGGTGCTGTCCTACATTAAGTCTCCTGACTAACAGGCTGGGCTATTTATACGGCATCTTCAAAATCTAATTTTCGCATCTGGTTTGACACATTTTTGTATGTGAGCATCCTTTGGTGTCCGTCCCTCTGCCAGCCGTCTAGAGGAGTTGATCCAAAGTTTTCAACATGCATAAAACAAATGGATTGTGCCTAGCAGAAGATCTAATTACAAATAATAATAATAATAATAATAATAATAATAATAATAATAATAATAATAATA